TCGAGTTTTTTTTTTCGTAATGTGATATCGATATTTCTGCCCACGCCTAGCGAAGGCAAATATATTGACACCGACGCACCGGCCTACGGTAGATTTAAATGACCCAGCACAATTCGCGCCGACCGCATACGCCAAGATGTTCCGCTACCCCCGAAAGCAGAAGAAAAGAGTGATAAATATATCCAGCCGTATTCAACAGACGTCACTAAAGTCCCTAGATAAAAGGTTCCTACAATAGCGACATTTTTTGGAGCGCCGACCTCGGGACGGTGCAAGTTTTAGGAAGCGAATGGCGCCGCACAGCAGAGGTTTGAACTGAATGCCGCCATTTCGTTCCAGCGCAACGTGCTTTGTAATTTGTATTGGTTTTCGTTATTTGTAAAACAAGTATCAAAGGACCTTAGACGTCACTAGCACGTGCTTAACATCTGACTGCGTCATCGGTTAAAATGATCACATGGCAGGGGGTAATCATGGCTAAGTAAGCACCCGGTATTCACAGACCAAATTTAGTCGCCCCGAGCGGCTTAGGAAGCGACTAACAAATCTTAGTCGCGGGGTATACGGCTAGATTAGCCGGTGTTTAGCGGGTGACTAGCGGCTCAACGCCATGACCGACTACTATCATGTCTGACCGCCAGCGCTAACGATGTACCTACTGTCTTGGAACGCTGAGGGACACATCTAGAGAGAAAATTGGAGTAGCACAGATTGGGTAGAAATGGAGATGTTCAGAGGTCATAGATACCACAAAAGCGATCTCAGCAAGGCGCTGGAAGACGAGAAAGCCCTCAGTTACGGGCGCTTTCATACTTGTGTATGTTACTGGCAACCGGCTGCCGTGCTTTCTGCCTTGCGTTTGATTACTTGCTTCATAAAACTCTGCCCCGGACAATCGGTCTCTTATTATAACATTTGGTGTTCCCTAATAAATATTTACTTATAAGTTTTTACACGCTAAAATCCCCATTTACACAGTGGCGTTTAAGTACGCGCATGCGTGAGCAATCTTCTTATGTCACTTCCGCTTGGCACTCCACTGACGAGATAGTCACCCGCTTTCTTCACTCTCGTGGATACCCCTGGGTCTAGTCGCTTCTTAGTCGCTGATCCTTCGCTTAGGTCGCGACTATCTAGACGCGCTACTAACTTTAAAACAGGACTAATTAGTCACGACTGGTGAATACGGCTGACTGCGTAGCGCCGTCGAGTGTGCCTACATCACCGTTGACGTCGTTACCTACGTTTCTAGATTAGCGCAGTTGTGGGACTTCCGCAAAGGTGGCGCCCCCGCCTCCACCCCTCCAGTCCGCCTCTCGTAAAGCCTCTTAAAGCTTTAGCCTCTCTTTGTTCACAGCGCCATTTCGGGTTTCGTTTCAAAACTGTACTCCAGAATACCACGAGGCGCCGTCTGGACGCTGTGCTTCTAAACATATGCATTCTATAAAACACACTCCTGCTTACGGTGCTGCAGATACCATAGCAGCTGTCCGCAAAATGGCAGCGCATTGAACGACGGGAGCCGGACCGTGGGGCGAGAGGGGAGGGAGAGGCGGCAGGGTAACTGCTCATAGCCTATATGGGCAGTTCCGTAATTGAGTTCATCTAATAGTGTCGGTCGTCGGTGTGACTCCAAGCGAAGACAGATATATCGACGTCACCGTCGTTCTTTTCACGATTATTTCCGGTTTGAAAGAACCATCAGAATTTGAAATAATTCAACCAGTAGAACCTGAGTTTCTACGTTTTTTTTTCAGCAAAATGTTAATGCGAATAATTTAAAGTTGCCGCGAGATGGACAAGAATGACGACAATAATAACTCCTGGAGAGGGTGAACAAGGGGATAAAGGATAAACATAAATCTCCAAACACAGCTAGCTGACTGGTGCGCGACTGAAAAAATCCGCCCGGTCCTGATATCGAACCAGGGTCCTTTTCTTTCCTAGTGTAGCGCCCTACAAAACGAGCTAACCAGGAGTTAGACATTAGTAGGGCAAACAGGTTTTAATTGCTGCCAGCACTCTAACACCAACAAGAGTTAAAGGCCTGATTTTAAGGTTATGATGTTAATAAAATTAATCGAGAGGTGCCGCGAGCTCGAAAAGAATGACAACATAATAATCCCTGGAGAGGATGAACAAGACGGACAAAGGACATACACAAATCTCCAAACACAGCTAACTGCTATGTTTGGATATTCTCGTGAGACAGCAATATATAGTTTACATGCAGTCTTCACAAATAAACGGTTTCGTCACGGTAAGCACAATAAGTTCAATCCTTTATTAAAAAAAAAAAAAAGATCTTTCAGCGTCAAATATAAAGTTCATAGCGTTAAACAACAAAACGAACTAGACAGCACAAAGAAACCTTAGACACATTCAGCGAGGGTTGGCGCATAAGGCAGGAACACATGTATGAAGAACAAAGAAAACGTACGAAAATTGGCATTAAAAAAATAATTCTTCAACATTTACTAAAAGAAAACAAACAAAAAAACGGTGGAAAGATGGCTTACAATGGATCTTCGTGCTCTTAAATGAGCCGTTCAAATTGGCGGCTGCACATCCAAAGTTCAAGCTTTCACTGAATGTAGTTGGACGAGGTGGATTTTAGGTGGCGAAATTTTAAGGGATTCCTCTTATTCCTGTAAAACATTTGTCCGAAAATTTTGCCATGATGAATGCTGGACGGGTTCACAGGCAACCGAGTTAACGATGGGCGTAACGTGTGTTGCAATCTCCCGACAGGCGTAGCGAGCAAACGACAGAGTGGGTCATCTACACATTGCACATATCGGAAAACAGCGCCACACGTTACCGCTACCGCTAACTCAGTTGCCTGTGAACCGGTCCACCAATCCCCCTACCAAGTTTTTTTTGTTGTTTTGTTTTGTTTTTTTTGCAGGAAGTGAGTTATGTTTTAAGATGTCACTAGCTGAATTCCACCTTCTCAATATAAATTTGATAAAAGTAAAAAAAAAGCATTATGTGCGGGTGCCGCTTTTCCGGTTTGTTTTAATGAGGACAAATGCAATGTGAGCACCCTATACACTAGGGTAATCGCGACAATGCTTTTAAGGAGTTCCCATTTGCAATTTGCTGTGCACAAAATAAGCTAGTTCCACGAAAATAGAATGAAACAATTTTACAATGCTGCAATTTTCATCCGAATCACGAAGGTATTCTTTTTCTTTGCACATTTGTGTTTCAGTTTCAATTCCCAAGTGATTGATCAGATTTAAAACAAAACAAATGCTTCTACTTTGTTATGGTTGACCTTGCAATAAACCAACTGGACGTTAGCAACACTTTTTCTTGTATGTAGGCCACTTTATATGTCTTGTCGCGGCTCTCTATTTGTAAAATAATTAACAACTGGTTCAATCCGAAGTTTTGATGCAGCATATCCATAAGATAGGTTTCCAGACCAAAGACAGCTAAAAACAGCGGCTAAATACATAAAAAGTCAGATTTCTTATTTTGATGATTAAAATGCTGAAGAAGAGTAGTCTTAATTATGGATTATGACCATCTTTGTCTTTGAGGTGAATGACATTACAGTAATTTCATCAATGTTTGCATGTTCAAATCATGTCCAAGATATAGAACTCTGCGACAGTGCTCGTTGGAACTTGGAACTCGTAATGTCTAAGCTTTTGCTTCATGTTTAGCCTGTCAACGGCGAAAACGATCTACGAAAACTCACTATTCAGACTTCACGCTGCAACCACTACGCCCCTACAGCTTCTCGATTTTTTCAAACGAGGGTGCTTCCAGCTCGCACACATAGTTCGTCAGTCTGAACTGGCTAATATCTGTTCAATAACAGCGACACAGGTGTAGTAAACGAGAAGTATGGCACTGGAGCGAAAACGAACAGTATGCAAAGGCAGCCTCTTGCTGCGCGGTGTTTCGGGAACTTCTATAGCAAGTGTCCTTTTGCAGACGACTGGTACGCAATATAAAATAGGTAGCAGTTTGGAGTTCCGATAAGATTCCTGAGATTCTCTCGGGGATACGAGAATGCGACGGTATTCAAACAATGTGCAAACTAGAGATAAAACGCGTGCTCATGCACTGGCGTCTAATTAAGCTCACGCCAAGTTGAGCGCCAATATAATTTCACCATTGTTACTTGTGGGCACTGAAGTTTTGCATAGTTCAGATTTTTTTTTTTTTTTAATGCCATAATTATTTACTGTCTCTTTGAGCGTCTCGAAACTCTGGTGGGATGCGAGATCCGGAACCGAAATTTCCGCTGTGCGTTCTTACTTGCTCGAGATAAGCGAAAACATTTTCTCTGCGGTCAGTATAAGTACAGAGTCGGTCCTGCTCCCCGCGGAATGTTCGGCCCAACTTGGACGCCGGGTGTGGAAATCCGCGGGAATTCTCCCGCGAGTTATCAGAGTGAACGCATCGTTAGGTGGTCGGCTTTGACACAAAAGGGCAAGAATACTAGGACCAAGCCCTCCGGCCAGAAAACTGTAACATTCCTCAAAACGTCTTGCAGTAACGAGTAACTTTCGCTCAGAGCAGCTGTGACTCGGACGTTCGAGTGATGTATCGCACTCGATATCTCCGAAATTTCAGTATTACAATCTCACACATCAATCAGTTGCGTAAGAACGCATAAGAATAATAATAAAAAAACAAATTGGTGATAAAGCATGGTACTAAGGCGGTGAGAAAACTGATCGCGATGATAAGTGTCATAAAATGTGATGCGGAATATTATGGGAAGGGCGGTGATTATCGTGGGGATAGGACGGGGATAATACAATACTGGTAATGATTTTGATAATGCACATCACGGTGTGGCGATGATGTTAATAATTACGATGATGATAAGGACGATGATGACAATCATGGTGGTAAAAGGATGATGATTACAACGAAGGGGAGACGGATGGTCGTGGTAGTGATCGCAATGATGGAAGTGGCATAACGTATAGTTTGACCTATATGTCCTTTTTTGTTTTTGTTTGTCTTTACTCTAGGTCTTCGATGGTTGGGAGAATTACGGGGATTATTTCCCAACTCAAGAGGAGCATCCGAAACCGATGGATCAAAGATTCGCGGAGTTCTGTGGCCCCATCAAACCCTGGAAGCCCTTCACAACGTCGCAGAACGTCGGCGTAGTCATGTTCAGAGTGCCCACCAGAGGAAACTACTTCTCCGTCTTGGTCACGTTCAGGAGGAACCCCAAACGTAAGTCCCGTACACTGTACCCGTCACGCTTTGTCCTTCAGTGAATCCAGTGACAAGGCGGAAAGTCGCATCTCAAAAACCACAAATCAAATAAATAGAGCAATCCAGTGCTTCCCTGCTCACACCTTACTAGATCTCTGAAGAAAGATATATATAATATATATATATATATATATAGCCAGGGGGGGAGGGGGACCCATGGGGCCCGCCCCCCTCCAAAAAAAATCCATTTTGCTGCGACATCGTTTCCCACCTCCCCCTCATACGGCATTTTGTCTTGGGCGGGCCCCTCCCGAAACAAAATCCTTACCACGTGCCTGATATATATATATATATATATATATATATATATATATATATATATATATATATATATATATATATATATATATATATATATATATATATATATATATGGTGTTTCAGAAAACGCAGGCCAAATCGTTCCTGCGAAAACTACTCATCGCAACGAAAAAAGGCTTGTGGCGTTGTGTTCCTGGGCCAGGGGCCCATTTTAGAAAATTATTAATGTCCGGGATAATTACCTTGTTAATTATTTTTGCCTAATTAACTTTTTTAATATTGTGTTTAAGGGCATGGTTTCAATTAGAAAATTGCTGAGCATCATCGAAGACCACTAAACCAACAAATTGCAGAATGATAGAAGGCACGCGAAGCATTTTACGGCTTTCTGAAAAACCGCACAAATTCGACGGGTGTTTAAGTTTCGGTTTGTTATCGGAGCGCATCTCCGCCCCGACGGCACCGCGCCCCGCGAAGAGATACTGCAAGCAACATCTGCTGCGCAGTTATCGCGCGAGTCGCGACGCAGTAGAGTCTGGTTGCACTATCTCTCCACGGGGCGCGGTGCTGCCGGGGCGGAGATGCGCTCCGATAACAAACCGAAACTTAAACACCCGTCGAATTCGTGCGGTTTTCAGAAAGCCGTAAAATGCTTCGCGTGCCTTCTATCATTCTGCAATTTGTTGGTTTAGGGGTTTTCGATGATGCTCAGCAATTTTCTAATTTAAACCATGCCCTTAAACACAATATTAAAAAAGTTAATTAGGCAAAAATAATTAACAAGTTAATTATCCCGGACATTAATAATTTTCTTAAATGGGTCCTAGGCCCAGGACCACAACGCTACAAGCCTTTTTTCGTTGCGATGAGTAGTTTTCGCAGGAACGATTTGGCCTGCGTTTTCTGAAACACCCTTTATATATATACACAACGGGTATGGTGGCGGGTGGCCGAAGGCGTGGGTATATAACTGAGAAGAATAAACCCTTAGTGAAAACAGCAACAACGGACGATTTATTCTTCGACGTTTCGGCCGGAGTCCGGCCTTCATCAGGAAGACGAAGGCGGGACTCCGGCCGAAACGTCGAAGAATAAATCGTCCGTTGTGGCTGTTTTAACTAAGGGTTTTTTCTTCTCAGTTATATATATATATATATATTGCGCGTATTCTGTTAAGATGGTGGCATTCCTATTAATTGCGTGGATTTACTTGTCTACAGCATTTCAAAACCTAAGACAGCCTGTAAGGTGGAGGGAGTTATGTAGATTCTGGGGTGATCACAATCGAATTACAGATTATGAAGCTACATTCCCTTGCACATTGACCCACGTAACGTTATTGCAGACAGAGAAGTTGAAAAGGCGAATTGGGCGTCGAGTTCGCTGTCGCACTTTGAGAGCAATACAGTGCGCGGACAGTGCACCGGGGAACTTCACAGCAGAGGGGAACCGAAGGGATGTCAAGAAGAAAATGAAAGGCGACACGCGGCAGGAAGCAGGGCGGTCATATAAAGCGACTACAAACTGAATCTGACAGAACGTATTGCCCCCCCCCCCCCCCCCCTCCCCGGTATTTTGTATTTTATTTTGAATGCGCATTCCGGCTAGAAATTATCTTGGTACAATCTTGACAGGGAGCAGTTATTTGAATACGGGGTTCCGAGGCTCTTGTTTTTGTCGTTGTTTCCCTTTTGGTGTTTTTCTACAATACAAACAGCACACTTTTCTGGAGGCAATACCAATCTGTCGTGAAAGTTTTTTCGACGTTCAATAAACACAAAAGAAAATGAAGTCATATACACTTTTATTATAAAGCCTGTCACAATACAGTGCGAAGTGAACGCTGCCTATTGTACTCTCGGTAAAAACGTCTCGTAAAACCATTAGTCCAGCTCGTATGGCACACGTTTGCACCCAGCCTCTCCTTCCCAGTGCGAGGAAACAGACGCTGCGCGGCATCCTGCAATCTCTCCTTATATCCACTGTTGTCGCAAGTCAAGGTGGTCCTGACTATGCATATCAAGTGTACTGGGACTTACTTAGCGTGTAATTCTGCTGAGCAGCTTCTTTAACAGCCTGCTGTTAATTTCAATAACCGTCCTTGCGTCTCGGATTCTCTGTTTTTCTACTTCTCCATCCATCCTATGCCTTTTCTCCTAAGTAGAATTCACCACTTGATTATTAGTGGCTTCCATCACTGGCTCCATAATGTTTTTAGCCATGAGCCTGTGGAAAATAAAGTAAATGTTAGATTTATAGTTTAGCCTGTGTCATACGGGGAAACAAATATATTTTTATTAAAATGTCTCCGAGAATTCTTGATAATATATACTTTAGGACAGCTTTATCTCCATCGGCTGCCTTCAATTTCTCTCGCCATAAATACCATAAAACAAAAAAAAATTAACTTTCTGAATGTGACATGAGTATTGTGATGTTCGGTAGCGTTATAATAAGAATTAAGGCCCGTGTCTTTGTAACTCTGGGTTTTCTAGGATGCTTTGCGCGCGCAGATCGAGTTTGCGTATTAAAATGCACTATGGCAAAGCAGTTTAGTACCTTTTTAATTTGCAATGATTCCCTAACAAATGGCTTGGTTTTCGGAGGAAGGCCTTTAAAAACCAAATTAAACGTTTGCACATGCTTACTTAGAAACATATCTCTATAAAAAAAGCGATGTATTTCTTAGATTTTATATATGTAAATGAACACTATTAGCTTAATAAGTTGCATTACGAGTCTAAAAAAAACGTTTGTCGGGCAAGGGCATAATTTCTAAAATCAGAACGTGCCGGATTTGTTTTACTATTTGTGAGAATGTATTCAGAGATTATGATTTCAGTAAATTGGAGGTGACTTGAAGATCTGATAGCATGGAGATTTAAATTACTTGTACCCGCAGAGTGGTCAAATGTATACTGTGAACATTAGTGCGGCTATGTCCACTGCTGCGTTCACGAGGGCATTCTTAAACTTTGTCATATCGTATTTTTTCTCATACTCCTGCCACCTCAGACATTTTGAACCGCGTGCGGCCTGAGACCATTCCGGCGAAAAGCGAAACAGCCCACCTTTCTGTCTGACAACAACACATGCAATGCCATCGTGTCATCTCATGATCATTGTATTCACCTTCGGTTTTCTTTTCCCGAGACACCTTTGGGAAACTTTAAACGCAGAATCAGCGTCACGAACGTAACCTAGTTACGTTCTAGGTTTTTTTTTATTTGTTTAGTTGTCTTCATTTGTTATTGCTAGAGGTCTATTGTTTTCTATACATTTCTCTACATCAAGCTCACGTAGGTCTTCAGTCATCCACTTACGTACGACGTTTCCTAAAAATCAATAGTCGCGTATCCTTTCTGCAGCAACCACCAATTAATCCCGTCCTTCCGTGATTTCTTTTTTTCTTCTATTTTTGTCTATATCTTCGCACGGCGGGCACCAACAGCTTGCAACGTGCTGCTGCAGCCGCTGTCCGAGAGCCCCGTGTACACCCTGCGCAACTACGGCCGGCGCGTCAACTGCAGCGCCGCATTCATCTTCCCCATGAACTTCCGGATACTGGCCACCAGCATCGGGTCCCAGGGCTTCTCGGGCTCCACCAACAGCGAGCTCGAGACGGGACTCATTACCAAAGTAAGCGCCTCGGCTAGTGCTCGGATTTTAGAGTTCTTCCGACTGCTCGATCGGGGGCTTCATTTGGAAATCCAGCTGCGAGAAGATGACGAACGCGTCGATCATATGGAAGCGTCTCCACCTCTCCACCTGCTTTCCTCCTTGCCACGCGAAAACGCACCGAATGCACACTTGCCACCAATCTTCCCACAGGAGGCGTACTCCATTAAATGGCGAATGCTCTTGGCGGTTTCAGTTGCTCCCTCTCTTAAATCTAGGATCTTTAACCTCGGCCGTCGATCGGCATGCCTTGTGATTGGGGGGGGGGGGGGGGGGGGGGCTTTTACACGTTTTTTTTCTCCCCCGTCTCGCTGGACCCTGGAGACTAACGAATCGTTAATGCGATAATTTCGCCAGGGCATTTCCAAATTAGACTCGCAAACTCCGCGAAACCGATGTGGGCGGGTGTCAAGTCTAATCCGATCGACTGTTTAAAGGCCCCTTCCACCCCCTCTCCCCTTCCCTGGTGGTAGGTGAGTATCGACGTTAGCACAGTTCAAGCGCGATGTAGGCACAATTTGTTAAATTGAGGACTCACGAAGGCGTCTGGTAGATTTAATCTAAGCGTTGATGTTTTTTTATTTTTTTTTCGTTCTAGGTGCTAGGGAATTACAGAAAGCATAGTTTTGGAAATCTGTGTTTGCTCGTTTGTTCGCATTTTGTGCTGCGTTAGCTAAGGAAGCAGGGTAGTGGTGACGGTAGAGTGGACTGCGCTAAAATATTTGGATCTAATGGCGACGGTTGCACACTCTCTTTAATACATAGAAAGTTCGGAGCGGAAAACGCAGTTATCTTTCTGTAATCCTGTGAAGCGGAAAAGCCCAAGCCTCAATTTTAAATTTGGGCTTACATAAATCTGGTTTTACATGTAGAATAAAATGCAGTCTCGTGTATTGAATAATTTTATGAGATAAGAGCCTTAATACTTTTTGTTGCTTCAATGTAAATTTTTAATATCTCTGAACTGTTTATTTCTCAGAAAAAAAAAACGGTAATGAGATATATCAGCTGTACTTCGTGATATGGTAGCGACGTTTTTAATTTACAATTCTTGTAACACACGTCAAAAGAAGAACAACCGCTTTCACGACTACAAAAATATAACCTGATACACCCAGCGTGTCGCCGGCTTGCCACTGTTAGGAAGACGGCTCCCTTCTAATAATAAAATTAAATTTGTGACGAACAGTTACGCACTGAACCAGGTTTTACCTTAAGGTGTACCGCAGCACAAAAACTAGAAGGCTGAGCTCGTAGCTTTGGCGGTGCTCCAACTTTGCCCAGGTACACGTAGCAGAGCGCGTTGGATGGAGCACAGATCACAGGGAAGCACATTTCATTTCGTGTTTTTATTCTTTCCTTGTGATCTGCCAAGTTTCGTGCAGCCGAGCCTCGTTCTTGACGGAGAAGTTTCCACTATTAACTAATACTCGCAGTCGTTGATGCGGGAGATGTTAATATGAAAAAAATATATAAGCCCTGTATCTCTTTAGATAGAAAGAAAAAAGCAACATCATAGAATAGAAAGTTCGCCGGTCTCTTTCACATCTTTGCGGTGCACCTAACATATTCCCGCGCGTTTACGTAACTGCCATACCCATACTCCGAGCGTATCAGCTAAGGGTAAGTGACATGACCTGCGAGATAAGGTGGTCTTTTAGTTAGGCTGCTTTCAGCGCGAACTCGCTACCTTCGGAAACACTTTGGCATATCCAGAGCTCTGGACGTGCTCGCTCATCCAAGGCACGACGGAAGGCACGGAGCACGTGCTGAAGGGACGACATCCAAAAGAGACGCCCTGCCGTTCTGATTCAGTCGATGACTGTACTCCCTCCTAGAGCATAGACCTAATAATTAGCACCAAGTTCAAAGTTGCAGTGCGCCTCTCAGCCACATCAATAAGGCTCATTAGCGACCGCATTGTGATCCGTCGAGCATGCTTTGAAATTACTCGTAACCTACACCAATTATCACTGAATGATAGTTTTATTCGCGTTACTATCATCATTATGACGCGTACGTCATGTTGTCAAACGGAAAAAAGGGCGGCACAATCTGAGCGTCCATAAGCCTTGTAGGATTTCGTTCTCGACAACGTGATGCTATTAGAGTTCTCGAGATATATCATGTTTCCTGATTGATGGAAACAAGACTCACTTGATTTGCATGTCTGGTCGACTCACCCCCGCCAAGTCGAATAACCTCGGGTGTTTTGATTAGAGGGGAGGCGTTAACTTACTGCTGTTTGAAGTTTAAAGGCTTTAGGTTGGGCATTTGCGGCTGTACGAGAGATTAAATTGAGATATGTAAAGCCCCACTCCTTCGTAGCCTTTCGGTCACGCAGATATCCCTTGAACAGTGTTTACTGAACATCGTTTGTTTAGTAGACTAACGGCTGATTACGTGAAACCTTCGCACAGATATTCGTAGGTGACAGCTTAGAAAGACTTCAGCACGCTCAATGAAACCCCCCTCCCCCCCCCCCCCCCTCCTCCGCTGCTCATTAAATAAGAGCTACCAAAGTCGGGGCTGAGTTTAAGCTGCTGAATTATCTAATAGATGTAATCGCTTGTCTAATGCATGGCCTCGCCAATTTGATAACTTTCAGATATAAGTAACCTAAAAAAATAAGTTTTATTCCAACATGCAGTGCTTTTATGTTTAATCTTAAGCTGGCACGCAATTTTGCATTTATGTACAATCTCTGTAGCGTCTCTCGCGTTATTTGTGTCAGTCGTTATGAATATTCGCGTATGTTACGTAATCGCCTATTTCCTACATTAGATGCCAACTCTACAAATGCTATTTTTTTAATGATACCCGTGTCCAGTGCAAGAAACGTGGAATGCAAGACTACGCCCAGTTCCTGGGTGGAAACGGTATCAGCACAGAAGGAATGCTCATCGTTGAAGATATCTGCGGTCTTGATTCTACAGCAAGTGAGTTGACCCTCCAAACAACGTTCTTAAATCATGAAAGAAAAAGAATCGCGGCACAAAACTATAGGGTAGTTATCATTTAAAAAAAAATGTTGCCTTAGTTTGCCACAACGAGAAGTGGTTTGAAAAAGTACGACTACCTTGTTTGTGGCTTTTTCACCATTGACCCCCCTTGTAAGCTGTGCCCATCACTCGCAAAGAAAGGTAAATTCGTAGAGTCACCATAAGAGCCTAAGAAGTGTAGGGTGTGGTGAGTTTCGAATGTCTCATTGTTGTTTCACAGTCAATGAGATTGCGGCACGGGCCGAAAAGAAAGACGAAGAACGAATGACAAAGCAAGAAGCGTGAACACAATAAGCCACACCCTACGTTTCTTAGGCTCTCAGTGACTACGCATTGTAAACACTGGAGCTAAGAAAAGACGGCACGAACAGCAAATGTAGGGCACCAAACGCAGTTCTTGTCGTCGTGTTGATCGCTTTTAAAGTGTAACTAAACAGCTATAGTTAAATGTTTGATGAAACGCACATTGTAGCAAATGTCTGACAATGTAACGAGGCCCTTAGCCTCCAGATTTACAGTAAAATCGTTTCCTAAATCTAAAAAACGTAATCTTCTCGGAGTTGCAAAACAAGCTGGAACCTAAATGGCATATCCTAGGGTTCGCCACCCCGAACCGGAAAAAACTACACATTCATTAAAAAAAAAAAAAAAATAAAGAAACGTCGGTTGCAGTAGAAGCAATTTCTTTAAACGGATATTGCGCATCTGATTGAAAAACGAAGCTAATTTCCGTTAGTCTTTGTAGGGTGGGTTTTCGTACGCGAGAATATATTACAGTCCATTGTTTTGTTCTCTGACTTGGGATCGAATGTAATAAGGAGCCGCGTACAGTTTCGGTTTTCTTTTCATGACGTCCATCCTTAGCAGCATTTATACTTGTTGAAACTTGGACACCGATTCCCTGTTCCTATCTGATGTGAATTCTTTAAGATACTTTAAAAACTCGTATACAACGTCCAAAAAGTTTTTTGTTTGTCTTTATTTATGCCTGCACAGTGACGGCTTACTAAATATTTGAGGTGTTCCAATAGGAATAGTCGTTCCCCAATCGCGGTGTTTTTCTTTTTGAGAGAAACAAAGCTATACTTGTTGTTGGATGAGATTTTTTTTTTTTTTTTTTCGGCGACTGAACATTAACTCGCCTTAATTCATACGTGACTGGCTTGTGGACGTACTCTTGTCGACGACCAGAACGAGCAAAGAATAAACGTGAGACAAAGTGCAGGCTAATGCGGATATCAATCTCGTTGGCGGGCATTCATTCGTAATCATGCGTTTCGGTTGCAGATACACAATTGGTACTAATAAGCAATAAAACAAATAAGTAGAAATATCAAGATTCCTTTTACACGTCTCATGCATTATTTGATTTAGTGGTTGCACTGTCGGAACTCTTTGCATGTTCCTACAAGTGTATGTTTAAAAAAGAACGGCGGTTAGAATTCTTAAAGCAAGCATGTCGTCCGTCGTTTTAGCCGTATACATGTTTAAAGCATGTTTGATTCTCGATCAAGTGCTAAATACTTCAACTTGACGCGCAGTTTAGGAGCATTTTCATGACAGTGTCATTTGTCTTAAGAATTCTAAACCGGTGTTCACAAACCTATTTTTGTGAAGTACTCGATAGAAAAATGATAGCCAATTATTTTATGTTGTGTTATTAGGCATAAGAATGGAGGACCGGGTCTGACCCGAGTGTGCAAAGACAAATACTACCTGCTGTACACTTTTGAAGAAATCAACAATAAGGTTGTTCGCACTTTAAAAGCGTGACTTCAGTTGCCATCGTTTCTCTCGTTGACAACCGAGCGAGTCTCCCTTTTCCTTTTTTCTTTGGGCTCGCGCACGCCCATTCACGCAGACTCCGGAACAGGTGGCGCCATCTGGAGACCAGCAGACAAACCGTACCTTACGAAATGGTTGAATAAATTCAATACAGCCCGTAGTACGCCGTGCACGGTGGCTGTCCCGTTATTCTGGTCTGCTATATTGTTACCTGAGACCCTTCTGGCCTGTTCTTCTCTTCTTTCTCTTTTTAAGAAAAATGACAATCAAAACAAGATTAAACACTAACTTGCAGATAATTTACAGAAAAACACAATTGAAATTAACAGTAGCCTCCGTGAAATGTTGACCTAATATACAAGGTGGTCCCAAATTATTTTGCACCAAACTTTATAAAAAAAAAACAATAAAAAAAAACGTAGCACTCTGCGGTAGGACGTTTTTCGGCAAAGCGTTAGAACGTTTTCTGGGAAAGTGCGCAATTTTTGTTGCAGTGCGCCTAGTTAAATAGGTCGTTAAGGCTAGTTAGCTTTTTTATTTATTTGTGTAAGAGCCGAGGTGGGGGGGGGGGGGGGGGTGAATTGGAAAATTGAAAAGCGCATTGAGAAAAACCCAATTGAGGTGTTTCATACAAGACCACGCTTTGCGCGCTTCTTTTTATTTCCCCCCCCCCCCCCCCCCCCCCCCCAAAAAAAAAAAAAAATGCCCTGAAAGATAAAAAAAGACCACGTGACAACCTGCCCGCGCTGCGCGCTTGCAGCGCTTTTAGTTGCGCTCATCTCCAGGGGCTACCCCAGCACGGAGCCCTGACTATGACAGCGCGCCAGTGATAACATTATTTTTTTTTTTTCTTCAAAGCACGTTTGAAAGCATTGAAGCGTGACACGCTGGTGCGTTGTCACATGGTCTCTCTTTTATATTTCGCGGGCTTTCTTTTTAAGCTAATACCAAGGAGCGCCCGAAGGGTATTACGTAGGAAACACCTTAAATGAGCGTTACTCAAATCGCTCTACAACTTTCCAATGCACACATCGGCTCTTAAACAACTAATAAAAGAGGGCTAATTAATCTTAATAAACTAAATAATTCGGCAGATTAAAAAAAATCGTACTTTCCCACAAATCTTTTTAACAACATACTGTTGATTTCACTCTCGCAGGACACCCTGCATATTTATGATCTCTATCGCGGTTCTCGCAGTTGGTCAAGCTTCATGCCACCGCACCATCAGAACTTTTCTTTACCTCTTTTTTTAAACCTGCCTCAGTTTGCCGCGATCTTTGATAATTGTCAGGTGGATGGAAATCTAGAAAATCTGGGAAGTCTCAATCTGCAAATCAAAATGTATTCTATATAAATAAAACAAAAGCATTCCTGCTTGTCGTGTGTAAAAACAAAGAATTCATATTTAATCGAGTTTCTGTAGTTTGACGTTGTTCCCTACGTCACAACATATTTCTTTTTTCTTTCTTGGTTGCAACTACGAGTTCAGAGGTCGCTTCTGTTTATCTGCTTCAGGCAAGAAAGCCATCCAGATCCCGTGCGGCAGCACCGCCGTTCGCCTGGTGTCCAGCGGCCGATACGAAGACTCGCTCACATTCGGCTACGAGCCGATCATCGAGATTGAGCGCCTGCGCTCCTGCGCCAAAACGGCCATATCCGTGTGACGACACTGGTAAGAGCGTACGCTAAAATATTTAAAGAAAAACTTATTTCTTTATATCACCGTGGCATCAGGGACGTCATTATAAAGGGAAAAGGTCTTAATAAGCACAAGGTTATCACAGTCATGTGATATACGTTGCCGCTGTAGTTAGTGATAACATAAAACGGAATTGCATGGCGAAGACAAGCCGCTTCCTGGCCTCATATCGTGGATTGAAGATAAAATGTTCTATGGGGAATGAAGTTTGTAGTTCCATCCTCATGCACGTATTTGTTGTGTTTGCTACAGCATTATCTTAAAGAAAGGACTGGTCAGGTCATGTGGATCGGCATCAAGGTTTGCTTTTAGAGACCAGCCGGAACGTTTAAAGATGAAGCTGTTGGTACTCTTTATTAATAAGCTGTAGATCGTGTGTTCAACCTATTCCGTATTTTTATGTTGAAACGCCCCAATGCAAGATTTGAGCTTTTTTTGTCACTAAAATATTTTTACTAATTTATTATTTGAGGTGATGCTAACTACGACATTAATAAAAAAAAAAAAAAAAAAAACAGTGACCTTTGTCACCCTTTATTAACATCTCTAGTAGGTGAAAGCCTCTAAACTTGAACACCAAATCATCATCTTGCGAGCCTCTGGCGGTACACCTGCAATGTCTTAAAGATTGAGGAAAAAATGTTGATGTTCTAGTTGAAATAGCGCCATCGTCTTACTCAGCCAACTCAGTTTGAACTCACTTGATATGTGGCAGAATTCCGCAGATAATTTTATTTGGAAACCAACGGTATGGTTAGGTGAAGCTGCGTTGGCTCCTCAGATGTTCCACTGGAAGGATCAAACTTTAAGTACCTATTTTTCACGAATTACACCTCTTTCTTGTTACGACATTATGACTCGAGACATTTTTCGAAGAACTCCTTCACGCATTGTGCTTTTGTCACCACGGCTTACCATAAATTTAAAATTGCAATCGAAATGGCTCAGATGATAGAACTCTGGAAGATGTCGAGTGAATCAAAAACATATCCTATTTTAGGCTTCGGAGCAGACTAAAATGTAAATATAAAGATAAACGTGCCAAGGAACTGGCACAAATCGGGATAATTTCTCTAATACACGGCGAAGCGGAGAGAATAAGGTGATGCCCTGCGATGAACACAACTCAGAATATCAGGAATCAGTCCTCTCCCGCGCCTTTTTAATACGAATGAGAATTATACCAATGTATACAGTCATGTAATCACTAATCAGCCTTCTGCGCGGTGCACGTCGAAAACTCAATGTCAGCAGTCACGTTGCAATTAATAAATTGTTCCTCTACGTGTACTATCACGTTGAATTAGTGCCCCAGTAACTTAAATGGCAGACCGATATCCCGCTCTATAAACAAGCACAACGCCCTATGTGTGTGTGTGTGCGCGCGCGTGTGTGCGTGCGTGTGTGTGTGTGTGTGCATGTGCGCGCGCGCGCGCGCGCGTGTGTGTGTGTGTGTGTGTGTGTGTGTGTGTGTGTGTGTGTGTGTGTGTGTGTGTGTTAATGCAAACTGCATCTTAGTTAAAGCGAAGTTGGGAGTTAGCTACGCCGCGTAGCCGTTGGTGTCGCCGTTGCTGTACCCGCGTAGACGTTCCATGTCGCCTTCATCAAGTGAATTCAGCTCACTAACATCCTCCTAAATAGTTCTTTTTTTTTTTCGAAACTGTGCGCCGTTTAGGAATCGTTGCGTGAATTATCCGCGACCGCTATGGGTTGGGCACGCCATACTTTGAGTGTGTATTGAGCGTTAGACGAGTGCTCGGATCCAATGACATGCGTCGTGCCCAGGAAATGGCGACCGCTAAGGTTGCTTGATGGGCTCTTGACCACCCGACGTGCATCGGGCCAATTCAGTTGACGTGAATGCATATCACGTGACGCCCCGGTGTTAACAGCGTCACCAGGTCTGGTAACGTTGGGTGTCAAGCTTCGTGGTGTAACGTGACGTCACGCCACATGGCGTCGCTGAACGCTGCGTGACGTGACACCAGGACTTGATACTGCTGCGTCACGTGACGTCAAGCTGTCTCGCAGCCCAGATTTGTGTACACAGTTTCCCTTGTGCGTTATGCGTACTGGACGCTTGGGTGTCCAGCTCTGTATCATTTCTAAAACCTCCTGCTGAAATTTAGAAGGCACTCCCGCACGCTGTGGAAAAAGCAACTTATTAAGCTTCGTTTTCTGTTTCCCTCCCCCAAAACGTAATTACTATATCGAATTGAAAGAAGTATTTTTAATAATCGATTTCTCTCTGTCTTCCTCTTTGTTTCCGTGATTTGCAGACAAGGACGCCCGGGCATCGGAACCTCCACTGACGACAGCGGCAGAGCCGTTTCAAACGAGAATCCGCGCCAAGCTGCTGAGAATGCAGCCACCTTCATGTTCTTCGTCCCATCCGAAACTCTTTCGCCGCTCCCCGTGTACATACCTGTTTCGTCCTCTCATCTGCGATCTCGTTTGCTGTCGAGGACCCCCGTTTGGTACCCCGATAAGAAATAGATGAGTGCACGCACGTGGATAGGCCAATCCCGCGAGGAAATAAATCAAGCACAAACTGGGGAGTCTCGTCTTTCGTTATGGTGGAACGCTCGTGTTGTAGGCAGCGTGGTGCAATCGCCGGTTTCAGATGTGCGTGTTCGTTCGACCCGGTGCTGGTGAACTGGGAAGCTTGTTTTCTCGCGTCCCGATCTTCGTGTCGCCCTCGTATTCTTCCACGTGGCTTGTATTGTCGGAGTAGGTAGATCAGGTAATTGTTTTAAAGTCTTGAAACCAAAATGAAACGGGAGGACTTGAAAATTCGCAAACAATAAAACAGGACGTTCAAATGCAAAAACGATCCTCGTCGTCTATACCTGTTCTTGTTTACGGTAACCCTTGAGTGTTTTTTTTTTCTTGATTGTTACGTGAAGAAACTTGCTCGTGTATTTTGAAACGATTACAGTGATTGACATGTAAAAATTATACTCGAAAGAATTTCGATATCAACCATTTGTTTCCTTGTTTTTTACATAAGTAAATCACCATGAACTGAAAATATTCCAGAACATGACAGTACATGCTCTATTTTTAACCAACAGTTTTAATGATGTATACAGTACAGGGCGTCCATTAAGTACTTTTTCATTTCAAAAATTTTAGGGAGCAAATTATTTGATTTGTTTTTGTTGTTTGCAGTGACTATCAAAGCGTGCACTCATATTCTTTTGTGGTGCTTTGGAGACTTTAAATCTAGTGTCAGGCGTTGCTTTGTTTTGTGCTTTCTCACAACAAAACTGCACGGTGTGTCTTCGTTTATTGCTATACAGGCGCACTGAAGCTAGGATGCAAAGCACATACAAATCCGACGATCATGTCAGTATCTTCGCCAATAGCATAGGAAACCTTTTGCACACGCACACACTTGCTGCTTTAATCTGATTTATTTTATTGGCAGCATCTTTCTTCATCTATACTGGAAATTCCCTTTAAAAATATTTGATGCCATTGGGGAATAGACTGACATGATGTCGGAAATTTGCCACGCGTCGCTCTGTATTCCCGCTGAATTTCTTATAGCAGATTTAATTTTGATGAACCAAGACACAAAGTTTATATTTACGGGGGGGGGGGGGGGGGGGGGGGGAGCGAATTTAGAAAAAAAATTCTTCCAAGTCCAATACAGCACCTGTAACGGAAAAAAGATAATCTCCGTGCAACCTTTGATATTTACTTGCATAAACTGAAAAAAATAAGATAAAAGATAAAGTTTAATTAACAGTGTATTTGCTCTTCTATTTTTTTTCCAAAATTAGTAAAAATAAATATTTATGAATGCCGTGTAAAATGTGTTCACAATAGTGCATATGACTTGGTTGCCAAACTTGTAGGTCATTTACCAGTATTACTGATATCATGTAGTTTTCAGTGCTCTTTTGTCAAAACCCAGGTTAGAATTTTCGTATTGATCCAATCACGAGTTCCCCTATTGATTATTTTTGTGTATCTATTTTTTTTTTTCACGTTCGAATTTTTAATGCCCCAAAGGTGACCAAAAGACATATTTTCGTCCTAACATTTATTGGTTTATTTCACGTAAGAATGCAGGAGAACATTACTAAACTAACTTTTATTTGACACCCGTAAACTATATTACACTTTCCCATTATGAAGTAGCTTAGTCGTGGTCAAACCTATGTTTTGCTTTTCATATTATATTTTATTTCTCGTAACAAGTCACCCAATTCGTTGCAAGCACCTGTGCCAGTTCGATAAGTATGGCGTACGTGAGCACGCGCTCACAAAACGAGCCCTTTTCTGGCTCGTCCGGGTGGGTTCGGACGCTGTGTATACATATATATATATAATATAAATATCCTTGAGCCAAGGTCAACTTTGCGGACGAGAGTGAATCCTCTACTTTTTTTCTTTTTCTCTCTCGTGTCACACTCCTGTACAGAGCGCGCAATATGTCGCAAATGAAGCTGTGGTCTCATCCCCCTGTATGTACTTGTTTCCCACCAAGTAAAAATACAGCATACGAATAAAGGTTTCCTAAAGGTATCTCTGATGGTGGGTGTCCTAGATTTCTTTCTGCCTTTGCGAAAACAATGCTGCCTTCACGCTTGTGCACGGCCAACTTATATTTAGTACGAATATGCGCGATTTGTTGTCGAGCAATCTTGGTGTCTGCTTCGGTAAGAGAGAGCATGCTTTAAGTTGCATCACGAATTTATTTACAACACATTATTTGGAATAGTTTCACTAAAAAAAAGGTATTAGAAAATATCCTGGAATAAGGTGTGTATTACCTTCAAGCCGACCGGGTCTGCAGCCAATTTCGTTGAAGTGCATTTGTATTGTAGTATATATTAGCTTATTTTAGTTCTCCATATACTTTGTTATTGCTTAAATTTTTTCATAGTGTTGTTTTTTATTCTTTTCACGATTAGTGTAAAACAATTGATAGCATGAGGCCCTCGGCAATTGGTGATTCAATCCGTACTAGTGGGCCTAAAAACACGCTAAGCGCAAATGGGCGCCAGCTCATTGCCAGTCGCAAAGTAACCTAGTGTTTAGTTACCATAAAATAATCTAGATCATTTTACCCATCTAAGCAAGTACCATTTTTTCTGCTAATTAATGTACCGTAAAACAGTAGCCAATCAATGAGAAAACAATGAGTCTTTTTGGCGGACAAGTATTCATTCGATGACTAGCGAAGTGCATATAAGCCACCAGGGGTTGCCATACGAAAAACGAAAAACACCTTCATATGAATAAGAAATGGACTGACTGCTTCTTAAAGTGTTGAAGTGTAAAATCGCTTTAGACGAGAAAACAAAGGCGCAATCAAATACAAAAAAGCAGTCTTTTTTTACTTTCACTTTATTCAGTTTTATGCAATGTTAGTGGGTATTACTCCACAGTAGAAGCAATTCAAACGTCAAGCTAACAGTCGTAAATCCAAAGTTGTCAACCGACGTTGCCTTTTTATTTTGCAGTCCGCCAAAGGTGGCAGCCCTGATTATACATTTAATAAAAGAAAAGAAGAAACGACAGCTACTATTTACAAAACAGTTACATTCATGTATAGTTAGCACAAAATATACGCTTTCTCACACACTGTACATACAATTTATTTCTATTTACTTTTCACTGGCCTTGTTTATCGCAGGCACAATGACAGTTCTGCCAATTCGACGACCGTTTTAACGTGAATTGCTTTGCCCCTCCAGTGCGCTAAAGCTTAAAATTCAAAACCGGAACCTAAGAAAACAAGTCCCGAAGACATAGCGGCAAAAAATGAACAAAATTGTGATTAACCGTTAGCGGTTAAGATGGGCACAATGCACACTCACACACGCACCGATGCATTCACATACGTACGCAAAAGATACCACGACTCATAATTAATATTATGAATTTCCTGGTTAAGATATGGTACAGCCCTCTGAAAACGCATGAGTATTTCTTGTCATTCATACATTCTCACGGCAAAGACGCCGCATACTTCATCATGGCAACAGTCACTCGCAGAAATTTGTTACGATGTCCACAAGACTTCCGGTCTCGTCGAGGCACTTGAGTACGTTCCCTGACCCAGTGTCTGACACAAGAGAAGCGAAAATAAAAATTCACATTGAGGTTTGTGACTATGGAGTTTGTTATTGCGCACTCAAGAGGGCCATTGACGATCGCGGTAAGTTGAAAAACACGATGTCGATATGGACGGCTCCTACTAGTTTTCCTGACTTTTGACACTATATTGTTAATGTGTCTGCATAATAAGTTGCGAGACAAGGTTCGCAGCTTTTTGCCGCAGAACTGGCAAGGTCGCATGTTCGGGTTCCTAGAAAGGCCGAGTCATCAACTCTGAGTCTCCGGTAGAGGAATCCGATTTTGAAGTCTGCAAAAAGAGAAAAAGGAAGGAAGAACACGATGAGTTTGAATACGGGGATAAAATTCCAAATGCATCCCCATTTCTTTCAGCCCTTCTTTGCGGGCACGTTAAAGGCCTTCAGCAGGACGAACTCGTTTCGAGGTATCGGCGTTCGAGCGCACCCAAAGGAGCACGCGCAGAGCCGAGATTGCGAGCTGATTCACTGATTCTTCGAAGGTGTTCCTATGCACTTGCCTTCCACTTGCACGTAACACAGGGATATTATATAGGCCTTTGCAAAAACCGCTTTCTGCGTGCTGCCATCTTTCCCTGCTGGGCTGTGGAACGCCTTCTGAGCATGCGCTGTTGCTCTGCTGTGCAATACATCAGACCCCGAGCATGCGCCCACAGCTCAGTGGCTCAGCATTTTTTTCCCGGGTGATAAGCGATGGAAAGTTCTATAGACTTTTGCATACCTTATCACCTGGGCAAAAAAGGCCGAGTCACTGAACTGTGGAAGCGTGCGCAGCGTCTGAAATACCACACAAAGAAACTACAGTGCATGCTCGTTCCACAGCCCAGCAGACAAAGATGGCATCACGCAGAAAGCGGTTTTCGCAAAGGCCTATAGTCAATGACAGCTAAGAAACGCAAAGTGTTGCTTACCGTTATCAAACTGCCTCTTGCTTCATCATTTGTTCTTTGACCGTTTTGAATGGGTAATAACGCAATCTCTTGCGGTATACCCAATCGTCGCAAATAACGAAGCAAGAATCGCTATAATAATAATAGGGAGTTGTAGTAGATCGTTTTTCTCCTCCGCTACGGTATCCCCGAAGAAAACACCGCACCTGAGCATGCGCGCCCCCAGCCTTGTCTGCATAGTTTAAGGTCTTGTGGCACATTACGGAGCGCTATCCGGGTGCTTAGCGGGCTGCGGAAACGCTCTACTAGAATTCCCTATTAATAGGTCACCCGCTGCGTTATTTATGCTGCCAGTTACACTAAACAAAAATTAATTTTGTCCCTCTTACCCTCCGTCTCGAAGTATCAGCACGAAGACCCGGGATTGGACTAGCGGAAGACCCAGCGTCGTTTCCGGCGTCGTCAAGGCGACAGCACTCCTGGGGACCAGGACGGAGAAAACAATGAGTTTGAAACAAGCATACAGTCCCGTGTAGAAAAAAAAAAAAAATGAACGCTATCTTCTCAACGCACGCCAACAAGAAGCCCAGAAAGAAAAGCTTAACGAAGTCCGCTGGGTATGTTTGTTTTGGGATCTGTAAGTTTTAAGTAAAGTGCTAATAGTTTATTGTTAAGACCGAAGTAGGTAAATTAGATTTTTGACCTCGTTAGTTAAAGGGAAACTGAAGCGCTTCTGTATTTGAGGAAAAACACTTCAACCGTCTTCATTTGGCCTATAAGATCAGGAATGTCGAAAGTATTTTTCAATTTGGTGCACGGAGACTGCAGAAATTTATTTTCAAAGTACCACCGAAGCCCCTCCTTTCCAGAGCGATACGTCATAAAAGGAGTTTTCAGAATCTCCGCTCTCGCGCATCTGCAGCGCCTAACAAAGGTACGCACGCGCACTCTTGCTATTTTCAAAAAGGTCAAAAACGACGTCACGACTTGTATCAGTGTGGAGGAATGTATCTGGCAAGCTTGCAATTACACGCGCTGCCCACACGAGCGACACGCGCTTGCCCGCCTAATTGTCCTAGTATGACATCACGATGGGTCGGAGGTTTTTCGCGTTTTCTCGCGGTTCGTTACATCTTCGGGGAAAACGAACGTGATATTCAGATTCACGAGATAAATAAACACCATAATTCACCTTTAATTCGCTTTCTTTTCTTTTTTTTTAAGCGGTGCTTTAGCTTCCCTTTTAAAGCAAGAATACATTTTACAAGGTAAAGAAATAAAATTTAAAGAAAACTAAATTACCACGAGCGCCCTGCTTACTTACCAAAATGTTATCAAATATTGTTTTTTTGCTAGGACTGAAGCTTAGTAGTAAGGAAGCAAATTTTTAAAGCACTACGATTTGCTACACGACTGTCATTGTTGTGTAAATCGTGAGTTCTCCGGAAGTATTCTTTTTCCTTTTTCAGAAGCAGAACACATAGCGGCTATAGTTTGTTTTCGTTTTTCCCTTGTTCAGGATGAACAAATAATGGTTGCATAGTTGGCGCATTATTTCAAGCACTGAGCTCTTTCTTGGGTCTTCTTATCAGTCTTGTTTTTGTCACTTATGTGTAAGTGCCTACCGCCAGTAAGAAAGTCCCGATAGTGTAAAACCAAAACCTCCTCAACGCATCTTTACAAACATATCATATGTGCCACGTTCTTAAAATAAAAATAAAAAAAAGATAAAACTTCATTTTTTTTAAATGAGCAAGAAAAACTATAACTTACTTTATTTTATCTTGCATAAAATGCCCATAAGTTATTAGGTTCCAACTCCGAGTCAATGAATATTAAAGTTTTGCTAGATTCCCATCGCGTTACTAGAATCACGAAACAAACTTATACGCATTAATACAGAGTTGTTTTAGCATATTAATTCTTCACTCTAAAAAAAAAAAGTATCACCTTACACCCTTCTGTCCGATATAATACACTCCAAAACTTCAGTTCGACGTACAGCGCCCTATAGTCGAACAGACGGCCCCAAATTTCACGAGGGGCTTGATAACGGTGCGATATAACTTTTCAAATAGCTAAAGTACGTATCAATGGCCACATAAAGAAAACACCGAGTTTTTGCGGTAGGGCCAAGAGAACCCCGATATTTCTTTTTTTAGTCAGTAAAACGTACATTAGTTATTTTAATAAGTTGTACCACACGGCTATCAAGCCCCTGGTAAAATATGCGGCCGTCTATTTGACTATAGGGCGCTGTACGCCGAAATAAAGTTTTGGGGTGTCTTACATGGGACAAAGGGTGTAATAATACACCCTTTTTTGAGAGTGTTCATAGTTCAACATTATTTGCAGTGCATGCCTTGAACATAGCTCTACTCAATGGAAGGCCGACACGACCAGAATAGATTTTATGTGGGCCGCTCTCCTTGCTGCAGTCTTTTCCCTTCCACGTTTCCCTTCTGATGATGGAGGTGAAAAGCTGATATCACCGTCCTCTTGTTTACACTTTTAAGGGCATGACCCCTCGGAAACTAATGCTAATCGAGGTTCGGACGTCACTACCGAGTCCACTATCATCCAACCATTTGACCACCATGTATCTCGCTATTCTGAGTCCGCAAAGTCGCGTGGCGTGACAACCGTGTCATTTCCTTCTAGAGTGAGATGGATTGGTTTAAATGGAGTCGCTCACGGAGTATGGCGAGGATCGAAGTTTTTCAAGGGGGATTAGTCGTCCACCGGTCGGTGCTCCGCCCGGATGACTGATAAGGTAGAAAATGTATTTTATTCATTTAGTCAGAACTATCCAGTGGTGTTGAAGTTCTTATAGAAGGAGAAAGTGGAATTATTTTACTAAAGTATTGATGAGCTCAATTCCTGCATAAATCACGGGGAATTAATACAAGTCCGTGAAAACATGGCACTAACACCAATAAAACAAATTGTAGCGTTGCATAAAACACTTAAAAATGCAAATTCGTAAATACAAGACATTAATAAATATAAAAAAAAAAAAACAGTAACCCGAAAAGGGAAACGTTGACCCTATCTTATCTCTGTTACGTCACGGCGGGTGGTGGCGCGTCGGGCGCACTTCCTGTCTTGGGCTGTGGGCGGAAGCCGTTGTGGCGGAAACCGTTATGACTTTGGAAGAAATCGGACAAAAACTTGCCTTCTCGTCAAAACGCCACAACTGGAGCTTTACCATAAGACTCGGGAAAGGTTTGAAAGTCAGTTTGCGTTTTCTGCCTGCTCGATTCGTCCAAAAACATCAACAAAAACCGTGAAAAAAAACACACAAAAAAAAACAGACGCCGTCGGACCACGATTGCTTGGGCGGAAAGCACTTTGGATTGAATTCACGGATACTTGTAGCCATCCGATTTATTTGTTTTATTCTAACATCAACGCGGGAAAACCGTTAAGTTGCACAGACCACCTGCGGACTACGTTCAGTGCGTCATCACGTTCAAATCGTTCGAGCTGTCGTCTGCTTTCGCAAACGTTTCTGCTTGTCGTCTGCTCGTTCAAACAACAGCGGCCAGTAGACCAAACGTTGACCCGGCAATTCCGATAAAAAGTGCAGACCTCAAAAGACGTTTCAGTTTGAAAATTGCCTCGGGTAAGTAGGCTCGGTGTAAACAGTAGATATAAGGAGATGTTGATAACTGTTACAAGTGGTCATCATCAACTTGTTATGCCTAATTCACTCGTTCCGACTCTGCTTGCGATTTTCAGTATCGACGTTGACATCTCAGCTGCGGTTCAGGCTTTTGTAGCCCGAGCGACGTCACGACTGAAAATAGCGAGCAGAGCCTTACCAAGTGAATCAGGTTTTAGCGTCCATACTGCGGCGTCCACGCAAAATGATTCGCGGCATGTTACATTATTCACATCGAGTTTTGCGGTGTAATGAGCCTCGTTAATTTCGCTGAGGCCGCTCAAGTAGTCAGACATTGCCCAGGAAGACGCAGAATCAACAATTCCAATGCGAAAAAGAGCGCAGCGACTCACACCGACGCCGACAACATCCCATTCCAATGGTTTGTTTATGGTCGATGACGAGCTTTTTGCCCACACCCCCATTGCGCATGCGCGGCGTCGGTGGCGTCCGCTGGGGGCGCTCCGGTTCGTTTGTAAACATGGGTTGGTGTATAGCGTAGAACAGCTGCCCAGAGGGCGCGCCGGAGCAGCACTAGTGGCCCCGCACTCTGGAGGAGAAGCGCCATCTATAGCAGTCCGGGTCCGGGTGGAATGGCAACGAACACGTTAAAATTCTACTCCGGCCACGTTGTATTAATATTGTGGATTTCGTCTGTTAAAAAACGGCTATTATTTTCTTAAGGAGGCGAACCTCTGCTAAGAAAGGTTGCCTGTGTGCCGCCTTCCGAGGTGGAGGGGTTGATCCAGACATAAGAACATTTGTCGACGGCGAAGTCCGCCGCAAGATAAATGATTTTCTTTATGGTTTCACTCGCTCTTGAAAGTCAGAGCTATTCGGACAAAGATGAGGATGATATATTGTTCAAATTGTCTTCTCGCGCAAAGCTGGGTTGTCGCACACACTATTTGAACTCAGTCAAGTGCTCTTGAAAGTCGTAGTTACCGACTGCTGAAAGCCTGCCGCGGCTATTTAAATGCATGCTAATGAAGTCGATGATGAGGCAGGCTCTGCCAAACCGTAACACGAGGCCAAGCTGTATTAAAAAAAGACAATGCGAGATGCAAATACGGCCACAGCTCATCTGTTCTGTTCCCAGACATATTAAGCAAATTAAACACTAAAATTGGAAAAAAAAAAAAAAACGTTACTACCTTGTTTTGTTTGGGAAAGTGTATTGCTGCCCTCAAGGCGGTAAAATCCTAATTTACGCACTTGCGTTAGTAAACCACTCATACTTTTATAAATAAAACGAGCGATTTTCAATCAACTCACATTTGCGCCAATATTGTTGTCTTGTTTTTTTGTTTTTTTTTACCTTTCTTATGTGACGTCACAATGATAGATTTAAACACAGTTGCGGGTAAATGCAAAAAAAAAAAAATTCCCGTAATTTTTGTTTTTTTGTTTACGCGCAGTTATACTTTATATATAATATAGATTGGACATCTTGGTCCGAAACAGGATCGTAAATATTACTTTCTTCTCTTTGCGAAACTTCTAATTCATTTTGAATTTCAGTCACACATTTTCAGTTATTTACCTTTTGTGAGCTGTCCTATCTTGGTCCCCCTTGTGTTGTTTTCATTTTGCACATCCAACATCACGAACACGCTCTAAGTCGATGACCCAGGAATGTTCTAATGTCTAATTTTTAGAGCTCCTCGGAAAGTAATTATACTTGTTGTGGGCTAACTACATCATTTAATATTTAAAAACAAAAACTAGAGTACAACCACCAATCTCTTTTCAATTATGCGTTCACGGCAGTACGCAATAGGGGCTATGATTATCTGCCTGAAGTTACCTGAAGCC